TTTAATATTGCCAGTTGTTGTTGTTTTTTTTACAGTGCACATTAATCATCTGTAAACTCTTGTGAACTAACAGGAACCCACTGCAGACAAGACTTTCACAATTGATTCATGTTCTCAGACAATGTCCAAGAAGTAAGTTTTTAGTTTGCATTGAAACATCCAAATATGCCTTTAGAAGTTCTACAGGACAAATTGAGCCTTTCATGAAACACTGTCACTTTTTCTGCAAACAGATGCTGTCCTGTGTTTCTTGGTGGAAGCTCTGTACCTCACGGTGTTGGAACCAGCGTTTCTCAAAGGTGAAAATTAATTTAGAATCAATCTTGCCTGGACTTGAGGGCCACATGCATATTTTAATGACATTCTAATGACCACAATATTGGTCATGATAGTCACTTAGATGTGCAAATGTATTCTGTGTCTGTAACTGTGTCTTGTTCTTGAAGGGCCTGCAACCATTTAAGATGTACGTCTTGCGATTTCAGCGTAATCATGTTTGAGGATCACGAGTGGGACTCCTCCTGTGACTACTTATTTTTCAGGTAAGGTATGAGCAAACATATCAGGAGAGAACATCATTTGATCAGGAGAGGGCAGCATTGATCCATGTATCCCACTGTAGCAGATGAAGCAGTTTGTTCATTCATTATCAATTCACTGATATTCTTAGACTGCCTCAGGCAGGCTGGTCTTTGCACAGCATCAGCACGTTCAGTTAATGATGTCTTTGTTAAAGTCATCATGTTGCCTTCTTACAGATAAGCTTTATTAAATTTGTACATGCTGATAAAGAAACACTTTTGGACAAGCGTTCAACAACACAACATGCAAGCATTTTAATGCGAACCCTGTTTTCCGCCGGACTGCGTCATTTCCTTATTATCTTCAGCGCTGTGTCTTGCAGCATCTCACTCAACTTTAGCATCAAACAGACAGTCAATCATTTGCACCATGTCTTTTATGTTGTTTTCTTCCATATTTAGGCCATGATGCACTTTGCTGCGTGCTCAGACACAGCCAAGTTCTCAAGTTCAAGGGTCTTTGTATTTTAATTATGTAATTAGGAGAGAATGTGTTTGGAATTTGTCAATGAAACTTGAACTTGAAACTTCCCCTTTTAAACAGGCGATAAATCAGCTCATCAAGAAATTATCTGTTCAGGATTGTAGCTGCATATATTGCTTGTATTACTTGTTGTAGTTTAAAGTAAAAGATGGAATAGCATGAAAAGAAACCTTTATACTTCTGACATATTATTTCTTCCAAATATTTTATGGTTGACAGTCCATATCAGGAGTTTTTAACCACTTACAATAGATGCAGACTGTCTGCAAAAGACTTAATGACTCCAAGGACATTTGGATAGTTTGAAAAATGAACTCTGTACAACCTGTTTTGAACCATGTGTTCATTAGTTCTTCAAATGGACGGTTCTTGCATTTAAGATCCAGATTTATTGTTTTGGGGGGGGAAAAATAGTACAAATAAAAAAAATCCTACAAATTTTCACCTTTTTTGTGCAAAATATACAATTTTTTATTTATTTGTATTATTGTTACACTTATAATTTTCATATTATTATTATTATTATTATTAGGTTAGTGGGGTGAAATGGGACCTGGAAACTTTCATGGTAACCACAGGACCTTAGAGCTTGCTTATGTGCATTGGGTTTCATACTAATGGCTCTTGTATTAAAATCCAGGCTCATTGTTGTAAACAAATAAATAAATAATAATCCTAGAAATCTATTTAAAAAAAAAACCTGCTTCCTATTTGGTCCTTAAAGTAGGGCTAGAAATGTGCTTTATTCTTGTGGAAAAAAAGGCTTAAATATTTTATATAATTTTTTAATTATTTTTATATATAACATTCTTTTAAATTTCCTAGGGTGAAATGAGTCCATGGTAACCAGAGGACTTTAGAATTTTCTTATATGTTTGCTCAATCAAAACATCCAGCACCAGTTTGACATTTTGAGAGAAGCAGACCCACATACAAGATAATAGTTTTTACAATTTGTTCTACAAAATGGGTTGTAAGTATACAAAAAATGAGGTTTGCAGTTGGTGAAAGTTCAAGAGATAAACCAAAGCAGTGAGCCAACTGTGTAAAGGAGCGCTCTGGGTTGAACTGGACATCTGTGAACTACAAGTACAGAAATATATTCAAATCCTCACAAAGCTTCTCTTCTGTCCCCTTCTTTAGGAATAACATGCCGGACTATCACAAACTAAAAGCCAAACTAAGAAGGAAAAGGGGTGGGCGTGCGTACGCCTGTCAATGTAGCTGGCACTCGACCCTCACGCTCTCAGACCTGAGGGAACAACAGCAGCTAAAGTGGGTTTGCGGCAAACACAAAGAATGAACACAAGTCTGCGACAGTTCTCTGAAATCTTATCTGTGTCCACAAGCAAGTGTTGCATGCTCTCTCCTCACAAAAGAGAATGCTGGCCATTTTCAAAATTTGCTTTGTGCGGTTTGTGGGGCTGGATAACAAAAAGAAGTTTTGTGTTCTTCACTGAGTGTGGTTTTTTGTGTGTGTGAAGTAATTGTGAGTGTCTTTGTCGACGCCACATTCTCCCTTACAATGATGAAGCACTGTGGCTGATTTATATTGTGTAGACTATTATTATTGATTAATGAAAGACTGCAACATATGCAAATATTCTAAATGCACATGCACATTTTTAGACATTTTGCACAGTTGAGAGTTAAAAAAAGAATGAGATTGGATCCATCTGTGAGGTTAATAATAGAATGGTTAATTGTTTAGAATGTTTATTATAAAATAGACGAACAATGTCAATTATTTGTTGTTGTTGTTCTTCCAGAATATTCTTAACAAACACTCAGGTATTGCAAGGGCCCGTCTGTGTTACATTCCATGGTTTTCAGGGACGTGTTGTTGTGAATCATCTGTCCTAAATAAAAAATGCACATCATTGTCCACAGTATAAAGAGAATGAAGAATTAAAAGTGATGTTTTGTGTGTTTTTGACGGTTTTAATACTTTACCTGCTGAGAAAAATCTCTTGCAGTCATCATGTTGATTTCACCAGGTTCCAGGTTCATCATAGTCGCTCTCTGAAGATGCAGCAGAATGGTCCTCCCTCTCTTTTTTAGGTGGTACATTAACATACGATGCCTCTGATGCTGTGCTGCTGTTATCTGTTTCTAAAATTTAAAAAAGAAAGAATTTTTTTGTTTTACTTGCACACTAATTCTGCTTGCTTTAAGGTTCAAGTTTGCTGAACAAAAGATCCAGGTTCAAAGGAGTTGGGGGAATTCAGAAAGGAAGTTCTCAGAGCGGAGACAACAGAATCACTGAGTTGGAAAAATATTTTGCTGAACCACCTTTTGCTTTAATTACAGCCTTTAGTCTGATGGGATATGTCTCTACTAACTTTGTAGAGACTTTAATAAATCAATATTTGCCCACTCTTCTTTGCAGAACTGCTCAAGTTCATTGCAGTCATCATGTTGATTTCACCAGGTTCCAGGTTCATCATAGTCGCTCTCTGAAGATGCAGCAGAATGGTCCTCCCTCTCTTTTTTAGGTGGTACATTAACATACGATGCCTCTGATGCTGTGCTGCTGTTATCTGTTTCTAAAATTTAAAAAAGAAAGAATTTTTTTGTTTTACTTGCACACTAATTCTGCTTGCTTTAAGGTTCAAGTTTGCTGAACAAAAGATCCAGGTTCAAAGGAGTTGGGGGAATTCAGAAAGGAAGTTCTCAGAGCGGAGACATACTGTCACATGGTTAAGTACAAGAGGTACCTTGACTGAGGTTTCTAGGTACATGATGGTCTCCGTAACCGTCAGTACCTTCCGTCATCTGTGCAATGTGGGGATTCTGAAAAGACATCTCAGGAAGTGATGGGTTTTCCTCACCTTCCAAAAAAAGACACAAATTTCAGTTACATATTTTTAGATATTTCCATGTAATTAAGCGGTTTATATACTAATAAATCAATATTTGCCCACTCTTCTTTGCAGAACTGCTCAAGTTCAGTTAAATTTGATGGCGACGGTTTGTGGACTGCAGTCTTCAAGTCATTGTACAGATTTTCAGTGGGGTTTAAAACTGGGCTCTGACTAGGCCATGCAAGGACATTCACCTTTTCCTCCTTCAACCACTGTGTGCTTTGGATCATTGTCATGTTGGAAGGTAAACCTTCTTCCCATTGACAACTTTTTGGCAGAAGTTAAGAATTGGACGGAATTTGCTCCATCCATTTTTCCTTCTATCCTGACGAGTGTTCCAGACGCTGCTGCAGAGAAACACCCCCAGAACAGGATATCACCACCTCCATGCTTTACTGTAGGAATGCTGTTGTTTGGATGGTGAGCTTTATTGGATTTCTGCCAGACATATCATTTGGTGTTGAGGCCAGATTCAATTTTAGTCTCATCTGACCATAACCTTTTTCCATGTGGCCTCAGAATGTCAGTGTGTTTTGACAAAGCTCAGTCGTGACTGCATGTGGCCTTTCTTGAGGGGTGGCTTTTTTCTTGCAACCCTCCCATACAAACCACATTTGTGGAGAATTTGAGATATTGTCAGCCATTGAAAAGACAAGTGTAAACGCGCTTCTGATCAGAATGTTATCCGATCAGCGTGTCCTGGTCCAGAGGTAGTCGAGGACGCATTGTGATCGGATCTCAGTGTAATGTAAACGCAGTCCAGCCATCGTGTCTGCATTCGCAGGTCGACATCACGCAAAACGCCGCCCCTCTCTCCCGATCTGTCGGAAGAACCGAGCGCTAGTACATTTATTTTGATTTGTAAAATGTCCCGCGACTGAAAATAGTTTTCAAAAGAAAACCCACCACTTCAGGTCGACTTTGCACTGCAGGCTTATTTAAATATTGGGCGGGAAATTTTTGGTACCCTTGGTAAATATGATCAAAAAAGGCTGTGAAAATAAATCTGTATTGTTAATCCTACTGATCTTTTATTTTAGATTAAAAATCTAACTTTTCATTGAAGAATAATAATTGGGGGGAAATCTCAGTGTCACAAAATGAACCCAATATCATATTTCCCATGTGATGATGAAGGTAAAATAAAATGTACTAGCAGATTTAAAAACGTTTGAGTGCGGATCTTTGGTTCATATGAGAAATCTCATTATGAAATCAATGTTTTTTCTCTAATACACGTTGGCCACAATTAATGGAACCCTTTTATTCAATACTTTTTGCATCATCCTTTTGCCAAGATAAAAGCTCTGAGTCTTCACCTATAATGCCTGATGAGTTTGAAGAACATCTGACAAGAGATCAGAGACCATTCCTTCATCCAGAATCACTCCAGACCCTTCAGATTTCCAGGTCCATGTTGGTTGCTTCTTCTCTTCAGTTCATCACGCTCATTATCTATAGGGTTAAGTCAGGGCACTGGAATGGCCATGGCAGAATATTCGTTTTGTGCTCAGTGACCCATTTTTGTTTTGATTTTGATGTTTGTTTTTGGATCATTGTCCTGTTGTAAGATCCAACCTTGGCCCATTATAAGATGTCTAGCATGAATGGTCAGTTTAAAATTTTTTTTTTTTATCTGTTGTTGGTTTGAATCCATGATGCCATGTACCTCCGGCAGAAAAAATATACCAACAACATTAAAGACACAGCAGTATATTTCATTGTACACATGGGGTACTTTTTCACTCTTGAGTGTTTTCTGCAAAAAGCTCATTTCTTAGTTTTATCTGACCATAGATCCCAGTCCTGTTTGAAGTTCCAGTAGTGTCTGGCAAATTAATATGCTGGAGTTTGTTTTTGGATGAGAGCATTTTCTTTTCTTGAAACCCTTCCAAACAAGGGTGATGTAGGTGCTGTTTGACATTTTTTAAGGCTTTCTGACCCCTAAGACTCAGTTAATTGTTTATGCTCAAACAGCAACATTACACACTAACTAACGTTAAAAAAAAAGTGAAATCGCAATCAACCACCCCTTTAAAGCCACTTTCTAATTTGTGTAGCCCAATTATCTGTTGCTGCACATCAGAACTATATGCTTTGGTTTTACTCATTGCGATGGATGATTAAGGGAATTTGGCCTTTGTTTTCCCTCATATTTATATTCCTGTGAAACCGGAAGCAATGGCTGGATAATTTCATAAATTAAAATCATAATCACCTTGGTGTGCTAAAAATTGTAATTATGAATGGGAATATACTGCAGGGATATTTTTCTCATAAGAATTTCTAAGGGTACCAATAATTGTGGCCATTGTGTATTATAGAGAAAATTATTTATTTCACAATGTGATTATTCCTATTTGATCAAAATTAAAATAAGAACAGTAATACTGTGAAATATTCCAATTTAAAATAATTGTTTTTTTTATTTTAATACTTTTTAAAATCTAATTTATCCTTCAGAAATCATTCTGTTATGCTAATTTGCAGCATTTTTTGGAAAGCATGGTGCATATGTTTTCAGGTTTAATAGAAACATCAAAAGGACAGCATTTATTTTAAACTGAAAAAAAAAATGTATTTAAAACAAAGAAATGTTACAACAAAAGGAAGAAGCAATATTAAAGTCTCTGCACCATTTCTAGGTTACTAATCAAACTTGTTTCATATTGAATTTTCAATTAAACTTCTCAAATTGTTCTGCTGGTGATATCATTATAATGAAAATATTTGTATTAAATTAGAAAAATGTACTTTTGGTCTTTGGATCATAAAATTACTTTTTTTATATACTGAATGTTTCATACCATAATGAGGATAGGCGTTTTCATCCATCTCTGTGTTCTGATAACACTCTTCTGATGAAGTACTGTCTGAATCATTCCCATCTGCCAAGCACAGAAGAATTCACACATATCCCTATCAAAATACACTGCTGTCAATATTGTCGCATTGTTCAATATAGGTACCTTGACTGTGGGTGATTGGTACATGAGAGCTGCTGTAACCAGCAGTGTTTCCTGTCATCTGGGTGCTGTGGGGTGTCTGTAGTGTCTTTTCAGGAAGTGATGGGCTTTCCTCGTCTTCTAGAGAAAACATACATGAGGTTTAGCTGACTAAATGAATCTTCAGAAGCCTCAAAATTAAATGATTTATGTGAACCTACCACACTGGAGACCGTTGTCCATGTCGATCTCTGTGTTTTGATAGCACTCGCCAGAAGATGTACTGTCTGAATCATTCACATCTACCGCGGACGACAAAAGAGGATTCATAAATCTGAAATTTATTTATCTACTACAAGATAATGTTTACCCTTAAAGGTGGAAGAAATCTTTACAATCTGGGATTTCATCAAGAGTGTTAAATCAGAGCTTTACCTTGACTGTCAGTGTTTGGAAAGTGAAGGTCACTATAAGACAGGGGTGCAAATGATGACTTTTCATGCAGTGATGGTCTTTCCTCACCTTCATTACGGGAAAAAAATATAATATATTAGTGGATACACCGAGACATGTTCTCTCTAGATTAAATTAAGTAAATTAACCTTATGATTTATTTTTACATACGTGACATGAAATTGTTGTCCGTGTTGGTCTCTGTGTTTTGATAGAACTCGCCAGAAGATGTACTGCTTGAATCATTCATATCTACTCCTAGAGGCAAAAGAGGGTTCATAAATCGGGAATTAAAAATAAAATTTTCAAAATGCAATTTCCTTTTGAAAATATTCAAAATCTGATGTTTCACTGTTAAATCAGCGCTTTACCTTTATTGTCAGTTCCAGGTAAGCGATGGTCACCATAAGACAAGAGTGTCAATGGTAACTTTTCTTGAAGGGCTGGTGTTTCCTCAGCTTCATAAGGGAAAAATGTTCAAATATTAACATTTAATGAATATTCACATTAATAATAAAAGTATTCGGTAACACTTTACAATAAGGTTCCATTTGCTAACATTAGTTAACATGAACTAACAATGAAAAATACATCTAAAGTATGTATTATTCTTAATTGATGTTAATGTCAACATTTATTAAAATCAAAAGATGTATCTGTTAGTATTAGTTTATGGACCTGAGATAACATGAACTAACAATGAACAGCTGTTAACTAATGTGTTAACTAATGTTAAAAAAGATGAATTACTGTAAAAATTTATTCCTCATTGCATTGCATTAGCTACCGGTAACTAATGGGACCTTACTGTAAAGTGTTACCAAATATTCATGATATTTCATTAATATTATGATTTATTTGTGCTTACATGACTGGAGAATGTCGTCCATGTCGGTCTTTGTGTTTTGATAGAACTCTCCAGAAGAAGTACTGCTTGTATCATTCATATCTACTGCTGTGTATAGGGGAAAGAACAATTTATAAGTTCCATTTTATTTCCTTATTAAAGGTTGAACAAATACTGTCACATGAAATCTGTGTACCTTGCCTGTGGGTGTCAGGGGCACCAAAAGACAGTGGTGTCAATGGGGGTTTATCACCTTCATAACAAAGAAATAAAATAACATATTGGTGAATTTTTCTTGATTGAAATAATACATTTTAGGTGGTAAGAGTTCAATCCCATGAATGTGATTATGATTTATTTGTGCATACCTGACTTTTGGATGGTGTCCATGTTAATTTCCATGTTGTGCACACGTCTTTCTCCAGAAGATGTACAGTCTACATCATTCACATCTCCTGTTAGACAGAGCAAAGAAGAGTTCATACATATTAAATGTGGCTCCTCACAAGTCATTGTTTATCATTTAGTGCAGAGCCTTGAATTCTTTAACAAGAATATGTGTTATGTCCACAATGCTAAAACAGAGAAACTACTGAATTATTTTTATTTGTATTTGTATCAGTTTCAGTAAGATTGTTTTTTATTCAGTAGGGATGTGTAAAAATTATCAAAATTGACAGTAAAAACTTTTACATTGTTACAAACAATCGTTGATTGAAAAAATAATTTTCCATAAAAATACTAAGCAGCGCAAATGTTTTCAACACTGATAATAATAAGAAATGTTTCTTGAGCAGCAAATCAGCATCAGGAATGTGAAAATAGATTGAAAATATAAATTATTTTAAATTCTAATAATATTTTGCAATATTACTGTGTTTTACTGTATTTTTAACCCCAAACACAATACCTCTATTGTCTCTTCACGTTCAAAACAGCTTCAAACTTTCATAAGGGAGATGTCAGAAGCTAAAGTCATGCTCAACAACTGCAGTCTGGTTTGTCTGAAAGGCCTCTCTAATGTAGTTGAGTTTAAGTTTAATGTGAACTAAAGTATAAAAGAAAACTATTTTCCTCCACCGACCCTCGCAGACACTGTTTTATGTAAAAAAAAAAAAAAAAAGGCTTATTCAATTAAGCCAGCAGCTGATTCTGTGTAAAGTGACTCTTTCTTCGATGTGTGTAATTTTAAATCAGGACTGATTATATATATTTAAGCTGATATTTGTGGTCATTTGCAGTAGATGAGTTGTCTGCTAAAGCCAGCATACTTGAGTTGTTTAGATGCAGTCTTTGCGGTCGATTGCTGTTGTGATGTTCATAGTCTGAATCAGTGGAACTGTCAGAGTCACGAGTGGGTCGATTTGTTCTCGTGCTGAATTTGTTGCCATATTTTGAGCTCATTCTCGGGCCAAGACTTTCTGAGGAAATTCAAAACAAAATGTACTCGTTTATGCAAAATTGAAAGTTTGACCATTACAGAAATTAAACAATATTTCATGTGCATGACAAAAGTTAGAAAAGGCATACTTTTTAGCATTTTATGTATAATTACAGACAGCTTATAAAAATTGGATCACTTACAGGGTTTAAAGAAATCTAAAAATAATTTAATATAATAGTAGTAATTAATATTAATACTATGCATAATAATACTATTGATAATAATATTTACAATATCTACTAAATACTAAAAATAGATAATCAGTTATGAGGACATAAAAAAAAAAACAATAGCAATACAAACCGTACTGACGCTCCCCGGCAGCCGGGACAGTTTGTGTGTTGTAGATTCCTATCTGTACATTGGACTGGGACTCCAGGCTTGTGTGAGAATTACTGTGATGTTGGTGAATCACACATTCTGTTGGCAAAGAGGATGAAAATGAATGGCTTAAACTTCCCCATGCAGCACTAAGCCGCTGTCTTAAGCTTTTGTATTGTTGTATTAGCTAATATCAAAAGAACAAGTTACTAGTTCACAAAAGGTTTGACGCTCTTCATGTTCTATATAAAAATTTGAATGGAATACACTGAATGCACACAGAAATTGGCCAAGTAGTCAGTGAATTCCTTTGAAGTTTATAACAATACAGTATGTTCAAAAACAACAGTGTTGTACTCGTACACAGAGATGCTCTCAGAGTTAGACGATGATCAAAATAACTAAGAGTCTGTTTGTTGTAGCTCAGCTCTATTTCCTCAGTTCCATTTCATTTAGTTCTAAGAAAACGTGTGTTATTTATTTTCCAATGCCACCGTGAATGGTATTTATACTTTTTAACACACCCTATTACAACATTTGGATGCCACTGTTTCCAACGTTTCAGAAGATATGAGTGAGTAGTGCTTTTAAATGTAAAACATGCTTATACTTGCCCTTTGCTCTTTTGAAATGCACATAGGAAGCAGCATTTAAAATAATAACCATAAGCAGAGCAATAGATAAGACGACGCAGCCAATCGCTGCTGCTGAAACGCCACTGCTGCTTTCTGTAGCTGCCATTGCAGTTGACACTAAAATAAACAGAGAGGTTTATATTAACAGAAATCTGCAGACTATGTCACTGTTTTTAATCAATTATTTTTATTTTGAAACTTAAGGAACTGAAGCATCACCTGGCACCAGTGTTGTCAAGTTCAGCTCGGTTGTGCTGTCTATGAGTGTGATCTCAACACTTTCTGTATGAAAGACATTGAATCCATTGAATACATCGAAGGAATACAAATTACCAAGACTTTTCAGTCTGGATTTCACGACACGACACTAACAAGCTAAGGCTTTTATATGTGTGCTTTGACATTTCAGAAATGCTGTTGTAAGCCCGCCTTACTTTCGTCTTATTTTGTTTAGACCAACTGACATGGAAATTCTCTCCCACCACCCTAAAAAAGTTCAATCTGACCTGCGTTTCAGTGAAATTATGGTAACATTCCACCTCAAGAGGTCACGTACTACAACCTCAAATACACACAGGAAATTTGGTTGCTAAGTAATACATTTGGCATGAAAAGTTGGTGTCTACAAATCAAATGTTATGATGCTAAAGTCAACACGAAGTTGAAACTGCCCCTATTTACCGTTATACTACATGTCCTGGTCCTATTCAACGATTTACCAGTGTATGTTATTCCAAACAAAAATGGGTTAAACTTTATTTTAAGGTGTCCTTGTAACAGTGTAATTATACAATTAAGTACTGAGTAATGTTGATTAACCACATTGCTAAGATTACTATACTTATACATTACTTACTATAGGGTTAAGAGGGTTTGGTTTAGGTTTGGTTGCATATAATTATGCATAATTTACTTAATTTACTGTTATTACTATAATAAATACATGCAACATCTAACGAGGACACTGTAAAATAAAGTGCTCCCAAAAATGTCTTTGTAATCTTTAATCTATATATAATAACTTGCTTTCTTTTCTTTTGACATTATTTAGGCCATGTGGAATGCCTAGATAATATTAAACAATTGCCGAAAGGCTATTTAATATTATTTAAACAAACTTGCATTCTCCAATCTGCAGTGATGGGAAGGTTACTTTGGAAATGTAACAGGTTACAGATTACAAGTTAACCTATTTAAAACGTAATAAGTAGTGTAACTATTTCAATTACTTTATTAAAGTAATGTAACTGATTACATTTGATTACTTTTTGATTACTTTTCTAAATTTCTAACGAATGTTTTCAAATGTTAATCACAGATGTCCCCTTTGAAGCACAGCCACCACAAAATCAGACTTACTTTAAAATTGTTTTGTTAAATAAAGAAGATTTAAAATCATAAGAAATAGTTTAATAGCTATGATACTGTTTTTAAAATCAAATCTTTGCATAGCCATGACAGGAAACACAGGCATCTAATAGTTAATCTTAAAAAAGCATATACATAGACCCAAATAAGAAATAAATCAGTTATCGTATAAATGTGTCCTAAACTCTTCAAAATAAATTATAAATAAGTTAAAAATTATTATAATTAATTATAAACTCCTGAAACATTGGTGTCTCATATTTTAGAGCAGCCAATGCAATTTGGGAATGAAATCAATTAAATCTGTATGTATGTGTGTGTGTGTATGTGTGTGTGTGTGTGTGTGTGTGTGTGTGTGTGTGTGTGAGTTAGTGAGTGAGTGAGTGAGTGAGTGAAAATATTCAGATGTAAGCCACTTTGTAATCTTAAACATTTTCATAAGTAACTAATTTAATTACACATTTTTTTCTCAGTAACTATAACTGATTACAGTTACATTTATTTTATAATTAAATTACGTAATTCCGTTACATGTAACTAGTTACTCCCCAACATTGCCAATCTGGTATGTAACGTCAACTTTTCTACCATCCAATCAATTCCTGATGAGTAAAAATTCCCAACTCTATATATTTTCCCTATTCCCAAAATACTGTGAAATAACCAAATTCCTATTGAAAATATTGTGAAATATAATAAAACAGGTTGCAAACTACAATTCACCTTGACTTTAATGTTTTTTCTATGTGTAGAACAAAGTGGAGTTTTACGTTATTTAGCACTTGCCCCATAAACGTACAGAATGTGTATAGTACCTGAACACACAATGCCAGCATCTTCCTTATGTCCACAATAGTTGCTGGCAGTGGTGTTGATTGAGGTGCACTCCCATAAGCTGCTCTCGGAGCCATTGCATTTCATTTGGCTGATGTGGATGGGACCTGTTCCAGGCCCAAAAAAGCTCATTCGTATCGCACTGCCACATCTCAGCTGGGCACATACTACATGTCTACTACAGATGTCAAAATCATCATCACACACTGTTCCCCAATTCCCAGAATGCAGCAGCTCCACCCGACCTGCACAGTGATCACGTCCTCCAACCAATCGGACAGCCTGGTGCTCTGGAGGACAGTGGTCAGCCCAGACAAAGCACAATTACAGCAATGAAACAAAAGTAGAACACCTATCAAAAGATCTCTGAGAAGATCTCAAATGACTCACCGCAAATTACTTCAGTTGCATTCATGCAGTCACCTTTTGCGGCTGTAGTGCAGTTGTGCAGTTTTGAGTCTCTCAGGATGCAGTCTGCAAGACAAGTGCCATTGTGCACTGTTGCAGTCGCGCCATGCTCGAAAACACGGCCACAACTTAAACGTTCACAGATTTGGAGAGCAAGCTCTTTCTTTTCCTGAGCATCCAAAAGGTTGAGGGTCACATCGACCGTAGTGTTCTTGTAAAGAGCCCTAAGCACACCAAAACAGCCCTCAGACAGGCTTAGTTTGGAGAGCTCAACTAGTTCAGAAAGACAAAAAAAGTCATTAAATTATTTCATTGAATCATCTACCTTAACTGTTTCTATCATTCTCATGAATGTATTCACTTTTTTATCTTTACAGCACACTGCGTTGAGTCAGAACATTTTCCAACATCGCATCCTGACACTGATCTTATCTGAGTGTTGATTCTGTTCTCAGTGTGTATTTCGAGTACATCAGACACTAGACTTTTATTTAGACCCAAACAGCAAAGTGAATATCTAAACTGTGGGGCATTGTTTTGTGTTGCAAAACGTTGTAGCAGTACACTGCAACACAGCCACATCCCGTGAGTCACTTCCTGTGGAAATGTCATATTGTAGCATGGAGGACACTGGGGAAAGAACTTTTCTTTTTTAGAAAGTTTATGACATTGCCTCCACAGTGTGGTTTGAGCTCATGAAGTTCTCCTGATTTATGACTACAGGATGCAGATTGTGTCTGTGTATATCATCTGTGGAATTGTGACTCATTCTGAAGGTCTTGCTTTGGGGTGACTTCTCAACAGGGTCAGAGGTCACTGATCTGATGTTCCACTGCGGTGGAGAAAAACACTACCATTCAAAAGTTTGGGGTCGTAACGTTTAAAAAAAAAAATGTATACTTTAATTCAGGAAGGATGCTTTAATTTGATCAAAAGTGACAGTAAATACAAAATCGTTACAAATAAATGCTGTTCTTTTGAACTTTCTTTCATCAAAGAATCCTGAAAAAAATATGTCAAGGTTTCCACAAACTGTTTTCAACATTGATAATAATAAGAAATGTTTCTTGAGCACCAAATCAGCATATTAGATTGATTTCTGAAGGATCATGTGACACTGAAGTATAGGTTAATTTGCCATCACAGCAGTAAATCACATTTTATAACATATTAAAATAGAAAGCATTTATTTAAAATTGTAATTTCACAGTATTACTGTTTTTACTCAGTTTTTATGTTTAGCATAAAATACTTCTTTCAAAAACATAAAAAGATTTTACCGACCCCAGACATTCGAATGATAGTGTACTTGGTGAAGAAGCATGGAAATACGGTGTAATAGAGCCTGAAACCTAAAAAACAAAGTCTTCTTGTTGTTGTTTTTTCTCTCTCAACAAGCAGTTGGTGGAAGAAGGTGCTTAATCTGCTGAAAATGTTGATCGTCATGAGGTCATATTAGATATTATAATATTGATTTTTTTTGTTTTGTTCTTGTTTTACAACCCTGTTAACAATCTGGGATGTTTATACATATTAAACCCTGATTTGTGTCATTTCATTCTAATGCTAAATATTTAAAAAGTAGAAAAAAAATAGAAAAAATTAAAATATCAATAGGGGCTTGCTAGTTTGGAAGCAAATGTTGATTTGTAAATTCAATTTTCAATAAGATGAAGAAAAATATTAGTTTGATCTCTTTTTTTTTTTTTACAACAACTTAAATAACAGGGTTGATGAATGCCATGAACACAGCAATATTTGTACAAATTCGGAAAATGGATTGAGATTATTTAAGCACCTTCCTGTAATGCTGTACGTAGAAAGGCTCAAGATTGTGTTAAATATTTTTATATAAAAAAATTTATAAAATATAAAAAAAAAGGTTTTTGGTAATTAAAATGAATCAGTAATTATATAAATTCAAAATTATGACGCCGTGCTTAACTGTTGGATTCGGTTGAGAGACTCTCCCAAATGAGCGCAAGCACTTTTGTGTTTGACTCCAGCTATTCTTTACCTTCTTCATATATGATGCCTGTGTGATTGCGTACAGCATTTACATCATCACATAATTAGTTCACATATCAAACAGTGCTTAATGACTTTAAAATGAATTCTAGCGTGCAATAAAATTAAGCGGTTGTCTCTGCGGTGGTAGATTGCTCTCACAGTTCTGTGCAATCTTGCAGTGGTCTTGCTGATGTCTTTTCTCTGTTCTGTTTGATGATGAGGTTGGTCTCAGCAAGCTACCTCAAACACTGTTCTCATGCATATTGTTCAACATCTTGATTAACTGCTTGATTTTGCAGGCCTCTTTTAAATAAGCTAGCTTTTTTGATCGTCGTGAGATTGCTGCTAACTGTACCCACTGATAACACTGATATAGACAAGATGCAGATGTAGACAAGATACTTTCAAAGGAAAGGCATGAGTTTTCTTAGAGTAGCAGTAATCCTTCAACTCACTCTGTTTGTCTGAATGATCAGCATGCTTTTTCACACTCTTGGAAGTTCGGTCATCTGTTCCATTGAGCCCTGAAGACGAAAAGACGAACACCATAAGTTTTTGCTGAGAACTTGTTGCCCGAAGCCAGAAGGCAAAACTGTCAACTGTCTAAAGCGTAAAAGTATAACAGAGCACTTAAATAAACAATCTTCCAATTTGATATCAGTCTTCACTGTCTTCAAACACGATATTCATCAAAGACAATAGCAATGAGACACTGTTGAACGAGATTCATAAAAAGAGCTGCCTGACCTTAACATTAAAACAACAAAAACCGATGTTCTGCAAAACTTTGGTAATGCTTGTGTTGGGTTGCAAAGTTAACTCTGCATTGTTCACATTCGAAGACTTGCCTTTGAAGACTTTGCCAAAACAAGAAAAGTTAAAACATGGAATAGGTTTGAAGCCTGTGGTGTAAAGAAAACGTAGATAAATCTTAATTGAGAGTTTTATACAATATGAATGAGACCGCAAGATGAAATACGCACAAGTTATCTAATGATAACATATAGCAAAGCCGTAGTTATTTATAACTATAGGACGATTTCTTGAAAACCTGCTGTGTTAACGCAAACTAGATAAAAGGGCTGCAGATCTTGTATTTCAACACAGCGTGGTCCTCTAAACTAGTTTCTCCATCTGCCTCACTCAGAGCCGACACTCGGCTTGGTCATTAAATCGTACTTTTAAAAAGTCACAGTATGAAATTAATTCAGAAAATTGATAATTGCATTTGTGACTAACCACTATATTCTTACTCTCTTTAGACATTCTCAGAGAATATAAAAATATTCTTTTTTTTTTTACAAAAATGGCATGATGTCTATGTCTACTTTGGTACATAATTTTGAAAAAAAAAAAATACTATTACACAGAATGAAATAAACGTAAGAAATGATATTGCTATGTAATATTTATACTTTACACATGCCAAATACATTTAAATGTAAAAAATGTTTATTACCTTTCAACATTCTAATAATTTATGCATTTTCTGTGAATTAAACATATAAAATGACAAAAACAACTTAAGTTTTTAGTTTTATAAATAATATTTTAATATTCTCTATAACAATGGATTTGTTGTTACAAATGGAGATAATAAATTAAAATTAACAAAACAAAAAACGAATTTGCGAGAATTTTCCTTGAAGATTATTTTCATGATGTACTCTTCCTCAGATTAACAGTTATTTTATACAGAGCAGCCATATGTACAGTCTTATTCAACAAAATACATTTTATGTGCTCTATTTCTGTCAAGATCCAAGAATTCTTTATAGCTGAACGTTGAAGAAAAACATAACTTATTCTATTATTGAAACACTTTTCTATAAATGTAGAGGCTTGTAAATGTCTACTTGTCATGTTAATAACATCCATAGCTTGTTTTACACAATCTAAAGGAACTCCATGTAGTCTGAAAATGGCTATTAGGAAAATTCGGTGATGAGATTTGCTGTTTTTTATTTTTAGCCATCATATGCATTGACATACAAAGTTATCTTTCTTCATTCAATCCCCTGTGAAGTTCAGCTTATTATTTACCAATGTGTCATAGTGCACTGAAGTGCATAAACGAATCTCTGGTTGCGCTTTGTTCAAACAGCTCTTTAGAAAAGCGATGTAACAAGCCGAGGCATCGCTGAACTTTCTTTTGTCACTTTTTTAAAAAGCCTTCAGATTGCATTGTGCTGCATTAGTTAAACTGAGCTTTGTTTCAACCACAAAGCGTGTCTTACACCAAGTCTTTGTAGAAAGTGCACATTTGATTTTCCATCTATGATAGTGATTGTCTCTCAAGAGCTAGTCAGACGGATTGTGCAATACCCTTTGAGAATTCTGCAACCTCTCTGCTCAAGTATCATCAACTTAATAGAGAAACCGCTAGGTCCTTTAGTAAATATGAGAATATGCTTTTAAAAATGCCAGAATATTGAATATAATTTAATCGCAGTTGAACTCAAGCTTTCTAGATGAAAGACCAAATCTGCCTACACAAACCATACACCAGAACCATTTTACCTTGAGACAAGGACAAAGCCTGGAGAACAACACACAGCAGCAGAAGAAGCATCTCTCAGTCAGTCAGCCTAACAGCCAAAGCTTTCTGTTCATCCCTGACAGAGAGTTACTCTGACTGAAAAGCGTGACCCTGCACCTTCAGCCTTTGGTGTTTGTGCAGTTGCTGCATGTGGTTTCCACTACGGGGCGAATTTGAGCAGCATGCCTCACATTGCACTCCCTAACACAAACGCACACCCTATTTTGCTACCGTCACAGGTCAAGTGCACATGTTTGCGGTGTATGAGTGTATTCACTAAAAATATCTTTTCCAAAATATGTTTTTAGTGGCTAATGGAGTTGTTTTGATTCTGGCAATAGTTTAGCAACTAAGCTTTTTGTTTCCCATTTTCATTTCCCTCCAGTTCATTATAGACTTTTATTGAGTTTCTTTGAGTAGCTACACAAAACGCTCAAGCTAGGCAGAATTGATTAAGAATTCTTCATGAATCCCAATTCATCATTCATCATTGGCCTGGCATGCAATTAATAAATTGAAGGGACAGTGAATACAGCTGTCTGTAGATGAATTGTCTGTTATTATCGTCAAGCCTAAATTACAAATTTAAGATGTAAAAGCAGACCCCTCCTACACTCACTACCACTGCCCGGGACTTCAGTAACACCAACAGCGAGATTTCTACAGCATTACAGAGAAACTGGCCCAAAAATGTTTAGTAAGCTGGTAAGTCGTTATTTTTGTTTTCTTCGCGTACAGAAAGTATTCTCGCCGCTTCATAACGTTACGGTTACAGGATAAGCAAAAGAAACAGGATATTTTGTTGGAAATGCAGTAATCCACTTTTTCTGAATAAAGTTCAACACTTCACTTGTGGAAAAACGTCTTCCACTCAAACTTTGTGAGAATCAGTGGCAGCAGCTTATTTTATCCAATACACCTACAGCTCAGGTCATCCAGGTGACATTTTGTTAATAGACTATTATTTTTATTCAGACCCCCTCACAGACCAAGCAAATTCACAACAATACATAAAGACACAATATGTGTCATTTTACACTATTCAGTGAGGAGTTCTCTGCCCTCAATTAAGACACATAATGCAGAGTTCAATCACGTCTCTTTTCACAGGCAACCGCTACAGTCTTGCAACTACTTACATTCTGGGATCCGAGTGAGTCAGGAAACACACCTTGACCTGCAATACTAGAATCAAAGTTTCTATGAAATATCCTGACGCTAGTTTTGTGTTTACACGTGTCTGCATGAGACAAATAGCTGTTCAAATGCTTGTAAATAGACAAGATCATATCTAAATAAGGTAAAATATATATTGAAAGAGAAGGATGAGCACATCACTCAATATTCCATCAATTTGGGACATATACATAGACATATTTGGGACATTAAATGATACACTGTTTTGGTTTGTCATACAACATCTAGCACATTATGTTGGCTAATTGGCTTTAAATGCACAGTAAGAAATTGGGAGAATTCCAAGGACAGCTCCAGCAGGGGACAGGCTACCAAAATGGATATGAACAGACACCCAATTATAACAAAAAATTTGACAAAACAATAGAAAGCTTGTTTCTGAAAACTAGAAAGAGCTGAAAAAATATTCAAAGTAATAAATCTGTTTAAGACCTGTGCTTACCGTGCTGCAGGAGTCGATGAAAATTATTAATCAACCAGCTTATTAATTAATCATTAAAACTCTAAATTAAAATGAATAACAAATATAATCAGCCACTGCCCTGTTGGATATATTTTTGTGTCATTTGTGTCCATTCTGTCACTCCTTTGGTTCTGGTTCTTCAATGAAAGCATGACAACAAGCAAACTGTCCATATGTGAATTGGCCATTGTCCAAATGGTAATCCTTCATTTTTACTTATCATGACAATTAGCATGTTGGTGGCAGAAATTAAAACAGAACACAATGTAAATGTAAAAGGCTCTTGAGATTCCTCAAGTGTTCCTCCAACATTCACATGCCAAAGAGCTGCCTACCACAAAGCATTCATTAAAAAAAATCATTTCATAAATAATTCATACACAAGTGTATAGAGAGAAAGTCCCTGACAATATTTGAAGGATGAGACATCAAATACCTTTTTTTTTTACCTTAATTTCATTAAACGGTGTTTCCCTGCATGGCAAATGTGTATTTAAAACTTTGTCCTCTTTTCCACTGAGGACACACACACAAAATATTTCAGTCGTATTCTTACATATTAAGTCCTATATTTTTAAAAGCCTTTTCACTTTTCATGTTTTTAATAGTCTAGACTTTTGCAGGTTTTTCTGACAACTCAATGTTACATGACAATCAGATGACCCGATGTAACCACACTTATGCTAAATGTCAAAAATAAACTAGCATCTTCAAATAAAGTACAATTAGAAATTAATGTAATGACGCCCAGAGCTGTCACTAACAGTCCCACATCATCATAATAATGATAAAGTATAGCCTACATATATAAGTGACTCTGTACCACCAAAACAAAAAGCCTGCTGGTGCTTGTTTTTTTTTAAATCTCGTTAAATCATTTCCCCTTTCTCAAATGAGCCGATCTCAGGTGCCTGTCTGTGTGACGTCACACAGACAGGCCCCTGCCACGATTGTTTGATTGACAGTAGCATTTCAGCACAGACTGGACTGGTGTCTTACCTTAAGACCCGCCCTGAGTGAGCTTTCATCAGTCCGGCATTGTTTCATGGCTGGAGCAGATGTAGACAAGAATGTCTCCTAAGCGATTTAAGTGTTTTGTTGTTGGATGTAATAATGAACATAGCAGTCGTCATTTACTCCCGACATCTGAGCCGCTGAAGACGCAGTGGATTAAGTTTGTTTCTGAAGAGAATGTGACCCCGATCTACCTAAATGCGTCTGTCTTCGTGCGAATCATTCGTGATCCAGCTTCACCTCCAGAAGAAGTGAGTGTAAGGTTTTTTAATGAATCTTTGCAAATCACCTTTACTAATAATGTGCTAGTTAGCGAGTTTCAGATGACTGCGGCTAAAGTTTACCGTTTTCTAGCTTCACCTCCAGAAGAAGTGAGTGTAAGGTTTTTAAATGAATCTTTGCAAATCGCCTTTCCTATAATGCGCTAGTTAGCGAGTGCTAGCTAAATGCAGCTAAAGTTTACAGTCTCTCAGAGAGCGGCTCGGAAGAGAGGGGTGGGGTCAGCAGAGCTCATTTGCATTTAAAGTGACATGCAAGGAAACAGCTAGCCATGAACAGAGCTGTTTCTGACAGGGTAAAAACTGTGTTGTTTTACACTACCATTGAGAAATTTTAACCAAACTATGTCACAGACTTTTCATTAAGACCCTGAAGAATCATATCAACTTGTGGAAAATGTGCATCCAATGACCCCTTTAAGGCAAGAAATTAACAGCTTGAGCTTGCACAGAAACAAGTGTTCACTGGCAGTAAATTGCAAGTTAGAATCGAGCATACTTTGAAAAATGGATTCACTTGTTTGAGTCAGTGAGAACACTGCACTGTTCTTAACTAGTGCAGATGGAAGCTCACTTGCAAGCTTTGTGTACCTGTCAGCTATTTACAGAAGCTGATATTTAGACAAGCGCAAATCAAGAGAATCAGCATTTGCGTCTCTCTGAATGAATTAGGGTGTTTAAATGAATCGGTTGAGTGAATGATTCATTGACAGGTTTCTTTCCTCCATCTTCTTTTTTGAGGTATTACGGCAGCTGGAATCCAAATTGGTGCGTTACTGCCACCTTCTTTTCTATCTTAAAGTCCATTTTTACTTTGGAATCATATTTCTTAAATAAACAATTCCTATCTTGCACATTACAATGTACAACTCTGCACATTGTAAAATGCATTTAGGTTTTGTTCCTTAATGAATGAGTTTTCATCTAATCGTTTGAGTGAACAATTTAATAACGCACTCTGTCAAATGTTTGATTCCTGAATGAATCAGAGTTGTTGAACGAATCGGTTGAGTGAATAATTCTATCACTGAATTAGGAACAGCACATAACCAAACTACTTTTATTATTTCTGTAAAGTATTTATGACACAAATAGTATGAATACCAGACTAGAATAACATTATATGGTGAATTAAGGGTGATTGGGACACAAGGTCAAATGGGACAGTATAACTATACAGAATTAATTTTCTTACCTAATGAGTGAAAATAAAAACTTTTTTGCTGAGCCCTAGCTGTAAGACCACATAATTAAAATGGGATGCCCTCATTGGTGTGACATCATATAGGTGGGCGGGGCAGGCATCAGACAGGAAGTTGACCGTGAAATGCATGAACTGAGGAAAATGACATAAGCTTTTGCTAGTTTTCATAATGTAGCGTCTGGACCAATCAGACACACAATATATACAGTGGGTACGGAAAGTATTCAGACCCCCTTAAATTTTTCACTCTTTGTTATATTGCAGCCATTTGCTAAAATCATTTAAGTTAATTTTTTTTCCTCATTAATGTACACACAGCACCCCATATTGACAGAAAAACACAGAATTGTTGACATTTTTGCAGACTTATTAAAAAAGAAAAACTGAAATATCACATGGTCCTAAGTATTCAGACCCTTTGCTGTGACACTCATATATTTAACTCAGGTGCTGTCCATTTCTTCTGATCATCCTTGAGATGGTTCTACACCTTCATTTGAGTCCAGCTGTGTTTGATTATACTGATTGGACTTGATTAGGAAAGCCACACACCTGTCTATATAAGACCTTACAGCTCACAGTGCATGTCAGAGCAAATGAGAATCATGAGGTCAATGAATTAGTCTTCTGATGATCTAAACGAGAGTGTATATTATATGTTGGTACATAGGCAATATATTAGTGTCCTGAGAATCTTTAGTCATTTCGATTCAAGTTCCATTTGCAAATTACCATGCCCTCACACAAAGGGTCGTAAAACCCTCCAGTAATTGCAACCTCCCGCTTGGGATTTCAGCCTTTCACATTGGACAAGCCCATCTTGAGAGGCATGACTCTTCTCAGACCTTAAAGGCCTCACATCAGTGACCGGCCTTCAGTCTGCGGTTCTGTTACATTCTGAGAAGATGAGGATGTGAGCT